CTCCAGGCCGTGACAGACTCGCGCCGGTTATGGCGCCGGGCTTGGGCGCAGTGAAACCAGGAACAGAAGGCACGCCATTGGCCGGAATGGGCAGAGGCTGCTTTGCCTGATCTCGGGCCTGATTGGGCACAGATCTATTAAAGTTGTTTGAGCTTGCCGTTGAAGCTGTGCTGGGTGCGGATGGCACTTCCAGGGGATTGTGTGACAGTACCGAAGTCGGTGTAGACGACGCTGGATTCTGGTATGTATGCATGTTAGACGTCAGGCTGGCAACCCGCTCTGCGTCTGCGGCTTTTTTCTGCTTATCAACCTCCCGCTTCACAATGAGCGGATCGCGGTGGAAGTCGTCCCAGTCCAATTCTAGTGCGGGGAGCTTCACCTTCTGCATTTTTGCCACAATGCCCTTGTCGTAGAGACAGTTGCCCAAAACGTTGCCGAAACAGCGTAGACAGCGCTTCAACGCGTCTGTGAAGGCTTCCTTCTTGCACTTCTCAAACGCAATCGCCTTATTTTTCGCGTTGTCGATGTTTCCGTACCCAAAATCTTCATGAAATGTACCATCACGAATCGTGATACGCACCACGACAGAAAGGCCGAGCGAAACACGCCCAGACCCATGCAGGTCCAAGTAGTCGACCTGAACGCTAATAAGTTCGGAGCTCCAGCCGTTAAACCCGAAGATTTCGTTGGCTAGATTCAACGCCTTCCACCCTTCTATGTAGGACACGTTCTGGCCGCCACCGCCCGGCCGGCAGCTGACGTATTCGGGCCCAAGGACCCTGTTTAGCTGCGTCTGGATCCTCTGTGCCTCTTCTGCCGAATAAGGAACCGTTGTCAGCGCGTTTTGGCGCGTTTTCACGGCCGGTTTATGGAAGTTTTGAGGCGGTACACGCGCCGGGCCAGGTCCCGCGGCGGAGGGGCCCAGGTTGCCGTTTTGACCCGGGGAAAAGCCATAGGGTGGTTTTTGTCGGGCTTGGTTATTCATCTATGCTATTTTTCTGGCCAAATTCGGTGGTCTAAGGGCACTTTGGTATGTCCTGAAGAAGACGTAATGGAGTATAGACGTGACTATATATGGCGCGCGGATTCACGCGACGCGCAGGGCCTGTCCTGTTGGATTGCCACGCCAAATTGCGGCAATTTCTTACTGCGAACTTGGGATTAACATATCATACAATTCATGAGAATTTGATAGTGAAAAGTTATTTGTTTCGTTTATAAGGAAAAGCCGTGGTTAATTTGGCGGTATCAATTAGCGGTGATAAATTGGTAATCTCTTTTTTTATTTTTTTGTTAGGCGATTGTAATAGTTGGACGGCCTGCTGATTAGAGATCACATATTGCTGGAGCAGGCACGAGGTCGATGACTAAAGACGGTGTATTATACTTTGCTTTGATAGTGAATGCCATTTTTCAAATCTTTGTTTTGCCGTCTTTGGTATTCAATATTTATCTTATTTGTATTATTTTCTTTCGAGATTTCGATCAATTTGACCAAGCCAATATAGCAACTGCAGTGCAGTACATGGTGGAGCTGGCTAGGATCGAATATACATTCATATATGGGTTTTTGGGGAGCTAAATAAACAGTTCTGGCCCCCAGTCCTTAATCAGGAAGTTTTTAACAAAAAAGACTCAAACACCACATATCAAAATGTTACACTTTTGTTCCCTTGGCACTTGATGCAAATCTTTCTCAGGGCTTGCGCGGGTCGTGAAGGTCACCTCAGTTTAGTCTGATACTTGGCCCAGAAAACACTATTGAAGGCTCAACAATTTTTGAAAAAGAGAAAAAGACAAAAATGGCGGGAAGAATAGCGCACAAAAACGAGATAAATGAATCAAGCTTGCTATCACGTCTTGGACTACGAGTTGTTATTACTGTTCTTTTCAGTAGCATTCCTCATAAGCTAATACTACTTGAAGTCAATATAAACTTAGCGCAAATTCCGTGCTTACTGATTTCCATGCGGAAATCTTTTCGATTCATGCATTTTCCGGTCCATGAGTAAGCGCATTCAAGGAAACTCACTCCAACTCGTTGATTGGGTCGCATTCATCGAAAGTGGCCTGAATGACATGCGAGCCAAAATCAGCGATTTCGTTACCCAAGGGGTCAATAACCGACAACTCGAGCTTGGCGTTTCCCTGCAGATTGAAAGAGGTGACATTCACCGGATAGTAGAAACCTTCAATGAGCCGCACCAGGCCCTCGTTGACACTCACCACGGGCTTTGCTTGGTCATTTATCGACTTCAAAGCCTTCAATTTAAAGGTCTCGGTCTCAAATTTTGTCGAAAATTCACAAGGGAGTTTCATGGGCCCCACGGTTAACTGGGCTCCATCATCGGCGGCCAACTTGAACTTGTACAGACCCGTGACCGAAGGACGGAAAAACGCATATGAATGGACCACCATGTTTGTCACCGTCTGCCTTGAATTATAGATGTTGTTGAAGTTTCTGTTTTTTGGGTGCTGCAAGAAATGATAGTTGATATCCATGACATTCTTTGGGGAATCCAACCGGCGGCAAATCTTACAGAAATTCTCGAAGAATCCGGATTCCCAGCCAATCACGCTGCCGAGCTCGTACGCATAAAACTGAACATTGAAGCCTTCACCGTGGTAACGGCTTGGTGCGATAGAACTCTCTGCAAAGGCAAGAGTCACGAAAACGTAGAAGAGGTAAATAGCTTTGCACAACATAGTCAGGTATTCTGATGGGAGTGATTGATACTTTTTAGTTTTAGATCTCTTACAAGGGCATCCTAGCTATATATACGTTTTTTTGGCTTTTTGGTTTTTTTGTTTGTTTTTTTGTCTGGAAATTACATCATGAAGAAATACAATAGTGAAAGCATGGCTGCGAATACTAGTCAGAATCCTGCACTTGAGTCTTTACCCTACTAACAATTGGTCCGGCATGGCCTTTGAAAAACAATGGAATAATAGGGGATTACCGCTCTTTGTCTTGTTTTTAAAATACGCTGGACTTTACGTAAGCGTTTATTTGTAAAGAAAATGGCTATTTCTAGGACCGCCCCTTGCACGTTAAGTTGGGTTGAAATAATGATCCATGAGTAATACATGTTGTTATGCTGGTCGCCAATACACATATATTCTCATCCTCAAGCAATCAGGATTACCATAAATAAAGTATGATCTGTCAGCCCCTTCAAAGGAGGATGGCTAAACGGTTATGCAGCGACTCAGCCTCATTTACAAATTAGAGTTAGGTGAAACGCCAGGTGGGTTATCTGTAACAATGGATCTCATTTCATGCTCACTGCGGGGCTTATGAAAACCGCTTTAGCCCAATCGCCGCTATAGACTCCTCAAGGTTGTGGCAAGAAATACTCATTGATGATTTTCCCCTCACCTTGAATGACAATATAGCTCATGGCGATTGGTCGAAATTTCCAAGGCCCTAATGTAAACAATGGAAGCTGAGTTCAAGCAGCAAATAAATGTCAAAACAGTAAGATCGTCGACTTTTGAAGTTAGTTCGCCAATAGTTCAGGCTCAAATCAATGATTTTTCTCCCAGGCCAATAAAAGCATTTGAAACTCAATAGAACAAAAAAATTCGGGGATTTTGCATATTTTTTCAGGCGCTTACAAGAACTTTTCCTGATACGAGATCTTTTTTTCTGTTTATGTGAATGGCTGTGTTTACATTTCACTGCACCTGGTTGCCCCCTCGCTTATCTCCGTGACTGCGCATCTTGCATTGTTGACGTTTGCAAGCGAGCGCAGCCTTGAGGCGCAGTCAGGGATCATCTATTTACAATTTGCACGTGTCAAAAGCGAGAAAAATGGGAAAGTCGAAAAATCCAAGATCTTCCGCAGCTATTTTACGGACCCTGATTGGTTTAAACGGAATTTCTGTCACCATATTAGCGATATGCAAGGAGTGTTTTGCTGCATCCCTTATGAATACACAGATCCATATATGAGAATCCTGCGAAAAGACAATTTTTTGGCGGTGTTTTCCTCAAGCTATTTGTGTTGTTGGTGCTACACCAAATTTTGCTTTTGAGATTGGAATCCTGAAAATTTTTGCTATTTTGCTCAAAAAATGTGATCTGTATAAATTTGTTTTATGGTGCCATGATCCCCTCGTGCCCCGTGCATTGCATATGGTTACACTGGGCACGGTGCAGTTCGCGTCGGAAATCGCCGGTGTGCTGAAAATTGTATACTTACACAAACTTTTTCGGCAACTTCAGGTATCAGTCATTCAAATAGAATAGGTCACCAAATCTCGCTCTTCTCCGAATCGAGATTCGTGCTAAAAATTCCATAATAATAGAGTGCTGCTTGTTTTTATGACAGCGCTCACAAGCCTACCAGATCAAAGCCAGATCGATAAAATGGCACGCATACTAAACTGGACAAGAAATGCCGATTTCACACAAATTTCATAAGATTCGATGTGTATTTACGCCAATTTCACCCACAAATTGTCCCCGATTATTCTGTAGAGGGGAGTAGAATCCTGAAAGGGGGTCTAAGAATTGTAGATATTATCCAGAGAGCCAGAAAAGCATTCTACCATACTACAGTTCAAGAAGTTCGGCGACTTAGACTCGCAGAATGTCATTTATCACATTCGAGCTTGTTTCAAGCTATTTATGTTAGAATTTAATCACAAAGCGTAGACCCTAGACACTTCGAAACCGCTAGTTCTCCTTTTCACTCCTTGGCCAGCACAACAGACCCCCGGACATCCCGCCGTCTCCCTATAAGTTGACTGACGTTTTCTCGCACTCAGCCCTTAACAAACCTGCCGCCCGCTGCTTTCGACAAAAGCTTGCCTTCGGAAATTCTCGCGCTTTCCAAACTCAGCGAAGCGAAACCTGGCACCCCTCATCAATCTCCCCTTAAAAGGGCACCGCGCCATCTTTTTTTCGCGGGAAAAGGCAGCCACACCAACTACACTTACGTCGCAACCCAGCAAACCCAAAACGCAACTTCAAACCCCTCAAAAACAAAAAGTAATGGACGAATCCGGATTTGAACCGGAGACCTTTCCCATGCTAAGGGAACGCGCTACCAACTGCGCCATACGCCCGGAAAGTGGTCCCTAGCAGGATCGAACTGCTGATCTTGGCGTTATTAGCACCACGCCTTAACCAACTGGGCCAAGGGACCTGTTTGTGTGTGTTTTTTCTGGGTGTTTCTACCTGAAAAATTGGTGCAAAATTTTGATGCTCATTATGCAGGATTTGTCAGGCTGCGAAACGATTTTTATATGCAGAATTGCATGCTTTCAGGCGCATATCATGCATATGTTTGAGATGATAGCTCCGAATTAGGGTTTCACACGCGTATCTCTTGCTGCAAAACACTCAAATCAGTTTCTCAACATTGAACAGTGATTTCGTGGAAACAAAAGATTACGCAAAAAAAAAGAGGAAATTTGCTTCAAATCACCACACGAAAATTCATCAATTGCAAACACTTAAACTTCATAAAATACTGACTGAGACCCAGACCAATTTATACTGTCATCCTTCATTCTCGAAACCTTGAAGCAAAAAGTGTTTTCACAAAATATCATGCGAGCTTGAAATTCTCTTTTTTGGAATGCAGATTTGCTGCTTCCACGAAAACTGCCCCAGAGACGTGATCCTAAGATGTGGCCCTGACTGCACCCATGCCCCAGCCATTCACGACATGCAATGCTTGTGATGCAAAGCACATTTTTTTAAAGCAAAAATTCTTAAACTTTTTCTCCACTCTTAGCCCTGGTCGTGCTGCTGCCTGGGTCGTGAAAAAAAAAGCATTTTTTGACTTTAATTGTTCCTGCGTCCCCATCATGGTATGTCACTTTGGCCGGGGGTACAAGAGAATCACAGACCATGACCTTCTTCACTGGAGACTTTTTGCGGACACACTTATCTGCTGTTCAATGAACTCATTGAGAGAAACGTCGTTCTGTTCCCCCCAATCTTTTTTTTCAGTCAATGGTATTAATTGTTTTCTGGTAACCTTCGTCACAGTCAGGTTGAAACAGCTCCAAAGACCACCACTAATCATTGTTTAGCATTATCAGGGTCAAACTCTGAACACTTTTTTGAGCACACCTTACGGAAAAATCATTGTGAAGACAAGCGTGAACCTGATATTACTTCTCCTCAAGACTAATTTGCAAGAAAATGCGCATATGAATCATCCATTCAGATAGAGTTGAACAGGCCTTGAAAATCTCGTTCAAAATTACTTATTATTCGTGAATCTAAGTTTATGCTTTTTCTCTTTTTTACTTTACGATCCTTCTACAGTATTCACTTACAGTGACAGGTAGGGCATGCGGCTTACGGTTGGTCGCATGTACGTCCCGCCAGACACGTGAGTGTAAACCCCGCAATCAGTAAAACTCGCATGGTAGGTTGGGTTTGTGTTTGTGCTGGACAAGAAAGTATATAAATGGGTCCTCGCCTCCCCTCACGGGTGGTGTCTGGACCTCATTGATTGAATACTGGTTTTTATTCATAAAACAATTCGTATTAAAAGGAATCCGCGGTTAAACGGTCAAAAATCTGTATATCTATAGACAAAAAAACATGCATACGTCTGGTTAGATGACCTTTTTTTTAAATTTTTTTTTTTTTTTAAATAGAAACAAATCGTATCAACATCTTTTTTTTCTAAAGATATATCACATTATAGGACGCTCTCGCTAAAGTATGACAGGCACACCCAAACAAGCGCAAAAACTATACAACATATAGAAAAACCTTTAATAGATCGCAACTTCACCCCAGGCGTCGTTTGGCGACACGAGATCTCTCATCAGAAATGAATCCGCTTTGAGACCTCTACCCAGAATGAACTCAACTCATCAGACTCATCAGACTGTCATCGGCCCATGGGGTTGGTCCTCCCTAATAACCTATCTACCTCCGGGAACTGACATGGAGGTAATACCGGGGCTGTATGGGTTAACCAACTGGGTTTCTAAAAAATAAACTCCTATTCAAAGCTTTCTCACCTGGTTCCTATTATAGTTCGACATGATATTTTGTTTTCAGAACTTTATCGCGTCGTAAATTGATATCGCAAAATTGAGCAGCGAAAGAAAAAGCAAAAAACAGACTGCAACACTGTAATTTCGCATATGGTCTCCCACTACACTACTCAGTACAGCTCTGCGAAGTTTAACTAACGTTGATCGGACGGGAAACAGTGCTTTCTTCGCGAAATGGTCGCAGCCGACAGTTTTCTACCGTAGATAAATATATTCTATACAAGACTCTTAGCACCCACTTTCGACCGAAATTTGGCCGGCCATAGTCCGCGGTAGTACATCTGTCAATTTTAGCAATACAGAGAAGATTAGCATTGTCCTTGTATAAAGATGACACGCTATACAAAGAGATTTACCATTTTTCTTTAAAAAAAAAAAAAAAGGCCTCAACAGAATTGGTCGTAGGCGTCTGCTACTCAGCTTCCCTCTCGAAGAGCGGTTAAGGCGTTGTATCTGTGCTTATAAAGCTATGGTTTTCCTCTTGACACTGTGGTTCTTCTAAAAAGCCTATACAGCGGCTGGGATGAAGGGGGGACCTAGACCTTAGGAAAGTGAGGGGGCTGCTTGCTTTTGCGCCTGGCCTGATTATCCGCAAGACAAAATTTTCCTTTTCTAATATGCGCAAACAACGCCGCTGGAATGGAGCCAAGTCGTTTTCTGTTCTTTGCTGGGCGCTTTCTAGGCCTCCGTCAGAATTTCTACTTTCTTCGACTGCGGTGGAATTAATTTTTGAGAGACCAACGACTTTTCTGTTGGATAATGGTCATGCGAATACTATCACATCATAGCAACCAGGAGCTCCAGTGAGAAATGCCTTGAACTAGTATTAAGCAAAAACGGGGCGTATGGCGGGAGAAATCACAAATCAAGCGCGAAATTTGGAACAGCATTCAAGACGACTGGAATGGTGCCTCCAACACGGTGGATTTTCTGCTGAAGAATCCATGGGCCCACAGGGATGTGGCTTTCGGAATCTTTCATCAGACACTTCTCTGTAAAGCTGACCCAGAAATCCAGTCCTATTTATGACGATAACGACGGAGGCGGTGGCTGCCAATTTATTTTCCCCCACCTTCCGTATTTGGCACCAAGGACCGAATTCTCACCCCTCTTCAGAACTCGATGTTTCTGGCCTCAGGTGATCTATATGCCATAGAAAAATGGACGTAGAACCAGAACGTTAAAAGCTGAGCCAAATCAAAGAAAAATCAAGAAGCGTACACACCTTCTTATGCCAAACACGTGTGTGCATCACATTCGACATAGTGGGGCATAAAAACAAACAAGACTAATTTATCTTAGTTTTTGCCCATACGAAGTGGTGGATATGAACAGGTTTTGTTATGCTCCAATCGTGATAACAAACGAACGGCCCATATTATCACACTTTTAATATTCCACAAATCAGACGACACATCAAATTACTCTGAATTGAATGAAATATGTTAAAATTTTGTGAAAGAGTTTTCTTTCATGTTGTATGTATCATTCACTTTCTCGTTCTCGACCTGCTCTTAGCGCGCGCCACTGGCCTAATATCAATGCATTAGCATTGGCACGGTCAAATAGGCCACACTAAAGCGATATTAAGTCTTACCGGTTTTAGCATATAAACGCGTTTTGTCCACCAAATTTTTCCGGCTATGCAAGAAAAACATGTCTGGCGATACTGCTGACTCGAAATCGGCAGAGGAGGTCGCTGTCCGGCGGAAAACGGCCGCTCAAAAAGATAATAACCATATGCTCCGACAGCAGCAGATAAGTTCGTATAAAACGGCGATGCTGAAGGAAGCTCGGGCGCAAAGAAGCCGTCTACGACACAGTACAGATGGCGTTTCATCAGATGATGGAAGCACGGAGGATCCCGTTGAGGTTTCTCCCCGGAAGAAGAAGAAAGTGAACTTCATAATTCATGCGCCCAAAGATGTTCCTAAGAAGGCGAACGAAAAGGGCGAAAAGTCCAAAGTGAAGAATTTTTAAGGTTAATTCAATATTTTTATTGTAAATTTGAGGCATCAGGCGCCTTAGTGACTATGACGAGATACACACATCACTTCCAGATCCCGTGACTGATTGATCCGTCCAGTATCTGATTTATGCGATGAACATGCGAATCATTCCCTCAAGAAAACAGACTTAGAATGGAGACTCCGAATTTTGAATTTCAAAATTCAATCCTAGTGCCTTTTCCCTATCAGATCGGATCTTGGTCTACACAATATTCATGTATAATACGTCGCACAACAACTACATATGGTGCAGAGCAAAGAAAGCTATAGGTTGTGTGACTTCCTTCCGAATCCCAAACCCAAAACGAATCATGATTCAGCCTTTTCTCCCTAACTTCTGTATATTTTCGATATCCACATAATCTATTAAACGTCCAATGACGATATCAACGTAATGTTATCACCCTTCAACAAAATCCGGCCCAACTCTTCTTTGCTGCCGCTAGAAGTGGAGATCTCCACGGCTTCATCAACCACAACATTCATGAACTCGTCGAACCCCCTGATTTTGCCCTGTATTCTCAGCTGTGTCTGCTCATAGAGCCAGATTGTGACTAGCGACTGCTGCTGCAAGTACTTGAAGATCAAATTGATGGGCGGGAGCACCGCTCTTTTGCTCTTGACTGTGGACATGTTATTGTGGGAATCTTGTTGGTTTCTGTATATGAGATGTATGGATGATACTGTCTTTTCTTTCAATGAAGTACAGTCAACTTCTTGATGGTTGAGCCTTAGCTTTTGTTGTTCTTGTTTTTTCCCAAAATGAACCCTTTGAATTGTAATGGAACTCAAAGTAATTGCTTTAGCTGCAAATTGACGTAATTTGATTAATGGTTTCACCGATGCCTTTAGTATCGCTCAGAAGAGCGAGCAGGCAAGCCTTGTGTTTTTGGAGCATTGACCGCCGCGCTTGGGCCACGACACCACCACGGCTCGTCAGGGCCACACAATTCGGGGCCATCAAGTATGTTTTGATGGAACCAGAAGAAATACCATGTTAGCAATTTGTAAAAGAAAAAAAATTCTATGGAC